TCGAGCAGTACGTAAAAAAACGCTTAAAAAGAATTTTAAAATTAAAATAAAATGACATAATAAGCGAGTAAAAAATAAGTAGATTCTTTTACTAGATGACTGTTGCTTTTGTATAAAAGTCTATTTTACTGGCTTATAATCAATAATCATACAAAAATATTTTATAAAACAAATAGTTTTTAAAATCGTTTGAATAATACATGCAAATTTTTTCAAAATTTTCCGAAAAACACTTACAATAGGACCAGGTTTTGCAAAATTCAAAATGTATAAAAAAATCTCAAAAAATTAGTACGTATTCTTCAAAGGATTTTAACCACTTTTTATTCAATAAAATTTTTTCATAAAGTTGATGGTTGTCGTATAAAAAATTCATACATTTTCGTTCCGCAGCCCAGTCTAAATTCATATTGTTGGAAATATAAGGGCTAGATAAAAATTGCAATCACGAGTTTCTTAAGGGCTCTCTATACACAGTCACACGGAGAGCTTTTCAGGTCCGGGTCATGGATTTGCTCCAAAAATTTTTTGCGGTCTCCTGGTTCCCAATACTGAAGTTCCCTGGGCTTAGTTTGATCTCATGGGCCTTAAGGCCCATTTTGTAGAGGATTTTCCACATTATAAAAAAATCTTTGTTATTTTCTATATCGATATAGAACTACTTAAACGAAATAATGCAACGATTAAAAGTTTTAAATTTTTTCAAAGAATCTGCTTGAATTTTTTCAGAATTTTTGGGACCATCTACCACTCTCTTTAAGAAGTCCTAAAATCTATTAAAAAAGCATCAAATTTGGGCCTCTTGAATTAAGTGATAGATGGTTCTAAAAATTCTGAAAAAATTCAAGCAGATTCTTTGAAAAAATTTAAAACTTTTAATCGTTGCATTATTTCGTTTAAGTACTTCTATATCGATATAGAAAATAACAAAGATTTTTTTATAATGTGGAAAATGTGGAAAAACCAGAAGACCCCCAAAAAAGTTTGGTAAAGATCTGTGACCCGGACCTGAAAAGCTCTCCTTGTCAGTCGATAAAAAATACATAATTATTTTGTACCAATTATTTTCAATTCTCTAGGCAACCATTAAACTTGAAATCTCGTGGGGGTACTATTGAAACTTATAAAAATGTGCCTATGTCGTTACTTTTCAATTAAGGGCCTGGCATACCCACTTAGTCGGTCAGTACCGAATTATTTTGTCCTCATTTTTCTCAATGAATAATCAATCGATTATCTTGAAACTTTGTAATTTATACTTTCAGAAGATTTATACAATTATGCCTGTTCTCTTGTTTTCATGTAATTTTCACGATTTTCAAATGAATTAAATTTATTGTTGTATTATGATTTTCATAACCTCTATAAACAAAATATACCAAAAAAGTTAATTTACGTAAGCTTATGAGACAATTCCGTGAAAACAACACTACAGGCATAATTGTATCACCCTCCTAAACCTAAGTACAAAGTTTCAAGATAATTGATTCATTATTTATTGAGAAAAACGAGGACAAAATAATTTGATATTAAATACCAACTGAGTGTGTACTCCCATGCCCCGGTACTTTCAAACAAACTTGCTTTTCAATTATCCCCATTTTATAACCCAAAAAAAAATATTCTCAAACAATTACTTAAAATGATATCATTAAACACTTTATTGGAATCTAACGACATAAGCACATTTTTATAAGTTTCATATTCATTGTGAATAAAAAAAATAGTACAAAATAATATCGGTATGTCGGTATTTGTCCGTGTGTATAGAGTGGCCTTCAAGGTTTGTATAGAAATTGCACCACTTTTGGTATTATTTCAGCCCTCTAAAACAGGAAAAGGTAGAAAATCAACTTCTTTCAGTTCAATAACAAAGATAAGCATGCAAAATTAACAACGTATTTTGAAAGATCATACCCAAAAACCTGTAGATAACTTAGATATATTAGCTTCGTCTATGGTTTTCATGAAACTCAAAATTTATTTGCAAAATTGTAATTTTTGGCGTCCAATAGTTGATAAATATTAATATATGAATGAAAATATAATTACAAATTTCCAAGTTTATATTAGAAAATGTTCAATATTTTAAAATAAGTTGTTTTTGGGCCTTTGCGCATGTCCATACTGTAGTGACTAGTAACTTTCACAAAAACTGCTGAACGACTGCAGTTCGCAGTCGATTCAAATAAATACCAAAGCAGAAATAATCATTATCAGTTCATGCCTAATAGTTATATTTTCTTGAGTAATATTATAAAATTTTTTAAGTAAATCACCTAAATAACCCATGAATATATGTTTAATCCAGATAATCCATGTAACATAAAATCCACCCGATATAATCCATAAAAAATAAGTTGAAGTTTGACATTAACAAAATCATCGGATTTCAAAATTTAGTTACTAGGATTGGACAGAAAATAGGATTAAAAATTTTTACTATACACTGCTTTCGGGATCTTATTAATTTATTTGAAGGTTAGTTTAAGATACCTGAGTCTACAAATTGCAAATAGCTATACGACTCGAAATACTTGCTGAAAAACATAAAACTCCTACATGGATTTTTAATTACTTTGTCATTGCTACACATAAGGTCTTAATAAGAATAGATTTTGTATTAATACTATTGTTCATATTAATAAATGCCACATACATGGGCCAATATAATACTTTTTGAATTGCCGCTCAAATGTGAGCAGTCGATTTGGGTTCGCTTTTGGTATGTTATAAAACATAATTTAAATTATCTGTGAGTTGAGATTCTAAATCTATTCTAGACCTCAATATCGCTCGTATGCCCCACAAACCAAATGAACTTCGATTTTCTTTCGATATTGATTCTGAAACCACTTTTAACTTATAAAATCTGAATAGTGACAATTTTTTCTCATTTTCTATACTAAACTACATAACTTCAAATTTCTTCAGATTTATTTAGATGCTTTTTGACATTTTAAAATAGAAAAACCCAAATTTTCAACAAAAATTTTTCATTTATACTGGAGCATCCTCTGGCAAAACTTTGGAAAAAATTTAAACGCATTCTTGGCCTATAATTCCAAAATTTTTTTTTGCTTTATCGAAAAAATTGATCACAAAAAAACGAATTTTTAATAATTTTTTACTTAAAAAAAGAAGAACCTGAGCAAAAAATGCATGCAGAATGGATAAGTTTTTAAAATAATCAGAAAATGAATTTGTGCATTTTTTCAGAATTTTTCTAAGATCAATGAGTGTAGGTATTTTAGCAAAAAAAGAGTACTTATCAAAAATTGAACCCATGTGATTATAAACTTTTATAATAATAAATCATATTTATACGAGACGTATATTTTTTCCTCAGGGGCATAAACCAGTGCTGAATGATGTAAATTAAAAAACATGAAAATTTTATGTTAATTTTGAAATTTTTAATTTTATTCGTGAAAATATGTTTTTCAAAAATCCTTTTACAATATAATATGCGACTGTAATACTGACTAGTTTTAATCGGTAGGGTTTCAAAAGCTACTTCCACTTAAGTGGGTCATTATTTTTTAAACTATTTGTTCAATCTACCAGTCCCGAACTTGAGCAATAAGCGTTGAACAAAAAAACCATTTCTTTCGAGATCTTAAAGATCAAAATTAGTCAATAAATGCGAGATCAAAATCCTGTGTCATAGCACTTTGTAATCGTAATTCAGCAATCAGATGTCTTACATTTTCTTATGTGAAAAGACTTACGAGAACATCTTTAAAAATATTCAACACTGGTTTGTCCTTTTAAGAAAACTTAAAATGAGCGGAAAATGTATATTTCTCAGATTATAATGAAGAAAAAATCATTTACATCCTCTGTTTGTTGATGAGTTTTTGATTGAAATAAAGGTTACAGTTGAATTCTTAGTGAAAACTTCGTCTGATGTGGTATTTTACTTTTATTACTTAAAATTAAAAATAAAATTATATATTTTTAATTTTCAAATATGTTACAAATTTATAATTCCATTATTTTTTTTGTAACAATTCTAAATAAGATTGCCTTCAATTAAAAACTATTTTGGAGTATTCCTATATTTTTTATAATTTTTTTTTTCATTTAGAAAATTCATTAACTATGTTTGTTTCTATTGAATTTATCAATTGTAAAAATCATCTCGATCTCGATGTTTTGAATCCAGAATCAAATAAGTACTAATGAATGAAATTTTTAATTACAATGTTCAGAATGTTATATGAGAATTGTTTTTCTTAAAACAAAAAATATCTTTTATCATATTATTTTGATGCTTGTGTAAAAAAAAAGTCAATATTTATTATTTTTAAATACAACAATACATCATTTATCCAGTATAAGAAAAACTTTTAGTTGAAAAAATTTCAAAATAATGTTATATGAAAGCAAAATTTAAGATGATATGATATCAATTTAATCAATATTTTGTACATATATAATTTTGAAGAAATCACATCGATATCGATTTTCTAATTAATACAATATTGAAGAGAAAACTAAATTATTAAAAAGATATTTTTTTCTATATTGATCAATGATTGCTAAGGAATATTTGATAAAACAAAGATTAAAAGTTATTAGCAGATTTTCATTTGTGTTATAATCAATAATAAATTTGTTATTATGATAGTGAAAAAGGTCAAATTTGAAGGAAAAGTTCAATTCTTAAAAATTGAAAAATTATTTGATGCTAAGATTTTTAAGATAAACTGCCTGACTGTGAAAGCTTTTGAACATACGTTTGTACACAAAACTCAGTCTAGGAAAGATAATATCATCTCGTCGCCTAAATGTGTACGTGTGCATGCGCATGTATGTGTATGACAGATGAATTGTTGGAGGCGGAGTCTGTGCATTGGGTCATCCCCTTTCTATAGCAGTTAGCAGTATCCACCTCCTTGTGCGAGCCAATGAGCAAGCGCCAACTAGTAAATCGAAAGAGGGGAGCTTCAGGTCCGTGATAGAATGTGTACACAAGAGTTCAGTGAGACCGACAAGCCAGCAGTGGAGAGAGAGGTTGAGTCAGTTAGTTGGCCTCTTCGGTCTGGGCAACATGCATAACGCATGAGAAGTAGCTAAAAATTTTACTTGAAACCTGCGTAATATTATCGATTTTTATCATTTCAAATTTCAATAAGTTTCAACGTTATTGTAATTGTGAATTGATCATTGGATCATAGTTTATCTGCAGCGAAATATTAAGTGATACAATACATATATATATACGGATATTAGTAACAAGCACGCACAAGAAACATACATATACATAAATATGTGAAAACTTATATGTATATACTTGCACATACACATAGATATATATATGTACACTTGAGATATATATATATATATATTTATAAGTATGTGTGAATGTATGTGTTAACATAGGAATGAACGTATGTATTTACGTATAAATGTATACGATACACATTCTTAGATGTACACTCAGTGAATGATCATAAAATATTAATGCATTGATCGAAAAATGTAACTGGTTGGAAAGCGATAAAAGCTGTGTTTAATGTAATTTGTGTCTCTGTGGTGCAGTGACAGTGCAAAGAGGTTAAATTTATTTAAAAAAGTGCTAAATATTTGTTAAAATACATTATTGTGAAATGAAAAAGTGACTAACATGACGCTTGAAAAGCATTACATCGGTATTGGAAGTGAATTGTGACAAGCTCCAATAAAGAACACACTACGCGTGAAGTGGAAAAACAAGTGCGTGAAATAAAATGAAACAGAGTGATGTGCAATTGAAAATTTTAAGTGAAAAATAAAAAGTAACTGAAATAAATAAAATTGATCCGCTTGAACTGGATGGGTATTTAGACGAGAGTCCTGCTCGTCTGCATAGAAGTAAGAAAGCGAAGTAGATGGCCGCTACGACGTACATGCCAATAAGTAGTGCAGTCTCTTCAGAGCTGGATGGTGGTTCAGTTACTGTAAACGGGATGAACATCTCCGTGGGTGGTTACACGTCAGGCTCACCTCGCAGTGCAGCCGACGCTGGAGAGATGAAGTACATGCCCGCGCCACAGCATCACCATCACCACCATCATCATCAGATGACTTCATCGCCATCGCCCAATAGCTTGTCCCATCCAGCGACGAGCTTGCCCTCGGCGAATCCTTGGGCTAGCTTGCAACCGGGAGCGGACCCGTGGGCAGCCTCGATGGGCATGCACCACACGGCGTCGCATCATCCGCACCACCACCCGCACCAGTCGAATACATCTTTGGATGTGAAACCGCTGGCGGCGGTCGCGGCCGCGGCCGCTGCCCAAGCTCAAGCCAACGATGGAAGTATGCATCATCGAGCAACGCACCAATCGCCGACGATGAGCTCTCCGCACTCGTGGCACAACCCGGTGGTTTCTTCGTCTCATTACAATCCCGGCGGTGGCTCGCCATCGCCGGCTACGCTTCAACAGTATCACGCGGCTATGAATGGAATTTTACACCACCAACCTCATCAACATCCTCATCAAATACACAATCACCAAACGGGATTACAGCATCATCTTCGCGAATCGCACAATCATAGTCCTCCGGCCAGTCATTCTCTCCATTCGAATCATCCCCATGAAAGAGAGCACAGTGTGAGCGAAGAAGATACGCCAACCAGTGACGACCTAGAAGCGTTTGCAAAGCAATTTAAGCAACGACGGATAAAGCTTGGTTTCACTCAAGCTGACGTCGGTCTCGCTCTTGGTACACTCTACGGTAACGTTTTCAGTCAAACGACAATATGCAGGTTTGAAGCTCTTCAGCTAAGCTTTAAAAATATGTGCAAATTGAAGCCTTTGTTGCAAAAGTGGCTCGAAGAAGCCGATTCGTCGACTGGCTCACCGACCAACATCGACAAAATAGCAGCCCAAGGAAGAAAGCGCAAAAAGCGCACGTCGATCGAAGTTTCCGTAAAGGGAGCTCTGGAGCAACATTTTCATAAGCAACCAAAACCCTCTGCGCAAGAAATCACGTCCTTAGCTGATAATTTACAACTGGAAAAGGAAGTTGTTCGCGTGTGGTTTTGCAACCGTCGTCAGAAAGAAAAGCGAATGACACCGCCCAATACTCTAGGCGAAGGAATGATGGATAACATGCAATCAAATCATCAAGGACAGCCAGGATTGCATCAAGGTTATCATCAACAAGATCATTTGCATGGATCGCCAATGGGACACAGTCACAGCCCGCCAATGTTAAGTCCTCAAGGTTTGACAGCTCATTCCCTGACGGCCCACTAGCGATCGCCTGGGCCTCCCCCACCAGGATTTGTAGCCACGGCTCATGATGGACCTGTAAGTATGCAAGATAGTTCATCTGCTGCAGCAGCTGCTGCGGTGGCTGCAGCCGCCGTTCTGCCGCCTTTCTACCATCATTACCTTCAAGCTCGATCAAGTGGCTATCCAAGCTCGTAGCTTAGGTGTGATGATTTACAGCTGCAAACAATGGGGAGGCTTATGTGTAAAATGTTTGACAATATTACATCGATGGCATCGATAGATGGGATCAAGAAACATCTTCAGAGCTAATTAGTTTGCCTTGTGAGTACCAGTGTTGCTGCTTTTCAAATCTACGTGCAATACAGCATGTAAAAGAAGAATCAAGTATTAATGAAGCCAACATTTCGTTTAAAAAGACTGTTTCTTTTTAATGATTGATTTCCTTATCGTGTGCAAAAGACGATTAATTTTCAAATGTGAACTTGGTTTTTGTGTTAACGCGTTAATTATTGTTTTAATTCACTCATTCAAGATGTGTATGTGGATGAAAAATTAAATTCATACCAAATATAAGAAAATATAAGTTTAAATTAAAAAGAGTGAAAATGGACTAATGTAAATACGTAAATATATTTCACGAAATATACCAATTTTACCAACTAAACGTTTGTAAAATGGTTGTAAAATAAGTATACATATGTATTGTAAATAATATTTCTATAAGGAATAGTAAATTTTAAATACAAAATATTAATAGCGATGGCAAAATTAACTCTAGCCTTTATTGTACAAAAAAACTATTTGAATCGCAGTGGCTAGATCTTATGTAATTAATCGTGATATACTTTGGAATAAATATGCCATCGAAATCAAACTTTCTTTTATTTTCTATTTCCAACAAATTTAATATATTAAGAATTTAAATAGCACATAATTAAATTATAAATATTGTCCGATTAACAGAATGATATAAAGTTAAAGTGTCCACGTATTATAATGATCATGAGAACTATTATTAACTTCATCCTTATCATAATTGTTACCAAGGTAACCGTGAAAAATTGGATATCTTATAACTTTTCTGTTATTTAATTTTTAATCTAAAAATTAAGGGTACTTATTGTTTTCATACACGTTGTTATAACTTTTTTCATGTTAAAATGAGTGCCTAATTTATTCCTTTATTACTGACTTATAAGAACAAATTTTTTTTACGAACAAAGAACTAAATTATTCGATGATTCTGTCATCGTGGTATAATATTGTTCATGAAAACTTTTCAAGTTCTTAATTGTCTTGCGAAATCAAGTCCTTTTAGACATTGATCATTTTTATGAATAATTTCAATATATTTGATGGATAGTATTAATGAAATTTAAAGTAATGTCATGTGTAAAAATGATTTTTTTTTATCGATAGTAGTTTTTTTTTAATAAAGAGGAATAAATTAGATTCAAAAATATTTGTAATGGTAAAATTGTTAACCCATCAATACCGCTTTAAATTTATTATAATCATACCTCTTATTGATAAAAATCTGAAAACAGAACGTAATTGTATTCTTGTATCAAATCCACAATAAGAAGAATAATGTGTTAGGATAATATCCGTTGGTAAGTTAAAATTCACACAACGATCATCTTGAAGCTAAACATATATTAATTTACTTTTATTTATTAATATTTCACGAGCGTTTTGATAGCTATCTCAGAAAAAATTTTAATTCGATATGAACTCAATAAACCAAACATCAGCTGTTTTTATAAGAATATGCATATTAATTACATCAATCCCTTAAATTATGATGCTTTTCAAATTGAAACCCAACAATTTCCAATTTTTTCTGAACTTTATTCGCAACTTTTGCACCTGTGATCAAACATTTTTAAATATTAATTGAAATTATAGTACATTTAAATATTTTAACTTTGATTTAAAGTGAGACCAATAATTGTCGAAAGTTTAAGAGCAACTCTTAGTATGATTGTATGCTTAATACGTGAAAAGATACCGTCGCAAGTCTAGAAATGAAAATTTTCCAACATGTTTTTTTTTAATTTTTTCTGATTTTTTTCATATTATAGCCTCATAGATGATTGAAAAATAAAAAAATTAAGTCATCCATGTAGCGCATTAGAAAAATATTTAATAGAAATTTCAGGAAATGTTTTTAAAAATTTTCATTTTTATCCTGGTTTCGGCAGCTCCTTAATAATAATAAAATCATTGAGAACCGGTTCCTTCTTTCGCTGTAAAATATGGAAGAGGAAAATAGGTATAACGTTCTTTTAGAAAGAAAATCATATATTATTACAAAGTTTTGATGAATAAACAAAGTGAAAGTATGTGCGAACGTTGTTTTAATAAAATTTCCAGATCCGTCTTCTCAAAATTGTTTTTATTGGTTGCCATTTTTTTATTGAATTATTAATGGTTCAAACGATTTTACTTTTACAACCCTAAAGGTGAAATTGAAAAAAACAGATTTTTTATATTTTTGCTTTAGACTAAATAAGAAAAATACACTGACAATTGATTGGCAAATAGTTTCTTTTATGAACATAACTTATTTGTAAATATATTCATTTCTTCACAACCCATTATTTCACAAATACAATAATTACACAAACTTTCACAAAAAATTACTTTATTCTTACAAACGAAACGAAAGTAAAGAAAAAACTTATTTCATTTTCAGGATTTAACTTTTTATCTAATAAATCTTAAAGCTTATTTTGTATTAAAATTTAGCTTCTCTCCTTTAGATATCTCAAAAAAATTTCTTCAAACGTTCGAAAAAAACTACGTGAATGATAAAAAAATCACTTCAAAACCTACGTAAAAACCTATAAAACAAACATAAAAAATTTGAAATATTTAAAAAAAAGTTTTTCATTTTCAGCATGTATATTTTGAAAGAATATACGAAACCATACAACGTTGGACTGGAGCAAAACGGCTCGTTTTTCATAAACATTTTAAAAATACTTTGAGAAATAACTTCAAACATTAAAAAAAAAATTTTTTTAACATTACAAAACCCCAGAATAAATGTTTTTGCAATGGTAATCACAAAATAAATTTTAAACCGCATCACTGCGATTAACGGAAAATTGCTCTTTTCTGCCCATGAAGTATGAAAAATAGCTTACCGGCCCAGGGTAGTAATATACTATTTCCGCTCTGCGTGTACGTAGCGGCGGAGAAATAGTTACTTTCAGTCTGCTAGTATGAAATAGAGTATATTACAGCCGCATGCACGGGGCAATTATGGACCGAGGCGAAGCCGAGGCTGATAAACATATTTTTTTCCGCGGCTTTCTTATTCCTAGTCTAGGCTGGTATGCTATTTTTCAGAGAGAAAAATTGGAATGCCTCAAATCACGTATCATTACTAGCCAAGGTGACGCCGTATTAGTTGATTAACATAGACTACAAACCTTTCTTTTTTTGTCTCATAAATGCGTAGACTATTTTTTATGTGTCTCCATAAAAAATTAAAAAAGTTATTTTAATTTTCTTTCCTTCATTGTTTTTACACTTAATTAATATTCGAAAAAATTTTACGAAAGAATAATCATATAAAACTAAGTTCTTTACGCCGTTTGATAACAATTTTATTTGGATCACTGATTAAAATATTTACTTACATTACAGTATATTCTATCGCATTAATGTGTGTAAAAAATTATAAATATGAATCATATACCACTCATAGAATTACCACTCGAGTATGTACTTTTTGGAATAAAACCATCAAGATTCATCTCTTATCCTGCAAGAGTAAAATTCAATTTTTTCAGACGATAGATTGGATTTACCATACGCATTGCATCAAGTAAGGTATTGTACTGCCTACTGATTCTATGCCGGGTAAAATTTCAATTTAAATAAGCGGGCGTGAATATATATTTTTTAGACAGATCAAAGGTCACAGTTTAAATTCTTCTATACATTTTTGTCAAAAAGCTTAGTCACGCTAATATGATGAGAAATTTGATCATAGGAAGTTTCTTGACAATTCAAAATTTCTTCTATGAGCACAGATACATTCTTATGTTGAATTTTTACCTCAAATCATCATAGCCATGGAATCAAACATTTCTACGTAATAGTCATTGTTTCTTCAAGATTGTTACTCCTGACCTAAGTCTTATGTGGACAGTCATATGGCCTTGACTAACTCAGTGTCTGTTGGCTCAATCGGTCAGTGCCTACGCAAACCAGCTCAATCAGCACATTAGCATTTATTGATGCTGCTGCAATACTAGATTTTCCAGCTTATAATATTGCAATACTACAAATATCGTGGTATTCTTCTACGCAATATATTTTGCCTTTACTGTAGTTCATTTACGAAATGATTACATACTGTTATAAATTCAAGTAATTAATAGAAATTATTGATGCCAAAATATTAGAAAATTTCGATTAAGTCAATTATTGAATAACTAGATAGAGATGAAATAAATTTCGGTTAAAATTACTCGATGTATATGATTGCAACATATTCATATTGTTATTTTAGATTGTAAGTTTATTTAAACAATTAATGAAACATTGATCTTTTGGTATTTATTTTGAAAGAGTGAAATCAATAGGAATCAGTGAAATTTTGAAAATAATAAATTTGAATCTAACTCATAGACACTTGATTAACGGGTTATTTACTTACTAACAATTTAGTTCAATTACAAAAATATTAGTCTAACGTTATACCGTTTCTCAGCGAACTAAAATAAAATTTCTGTATGTTAACGATCTCGCTCAGAATTTCCTGAATAGACCAACTTAAGAATTCAGAACTTTTAATTGAATTGAACTATAACAAAAATGTTTAATGTTGTAGATAGCATAGAATTATATATATTTTATATTGATACAGAAAATATATCATAACTTTGAGTCCCAATAAAGCTCAATAAAATTTGTCGTACGTCGAAAAAAAATTATAAAAGCTATCTCATTCAATACGAAAGAAAAAAAATTCATGTCAGTGAATTAATAGTTACAAATTACAAATTAACACAAATTAATAGTTCAATTTTATAGAATTTATATAAACAACAACAAATCGAAAACAACAATTCGGTTTTCGATATTATGTAGAATGTTTATATTTCAATTTTATTTTGATTTAATCTTCTGTCTATTAAGAATCGTTTGCAATAGTATAATTATTAATATGAATCAATTATAGTATAGAAATGCAATATACTTGATACTCTTTCAACTATCAAGTTAAGAAAATAAATAATTGTTTTTTAAAATAATAAAATTTTTCCCTGTTATACATATTTATTTCATCATTATTATCAATTAAACTGTTAATTTTTTATCATGACTATAAAATTGAATACCAAAACACTCCTAAAAGAATTGTATTTAATAAAATGAATTACATTATGTTAATCATACTTTGAATTAATTGTATAAGAATTAAAATTCACTTTGGTTGATTGTGTATAAAATTATATTTAACATTGGGATGCATAAATAATTTCATTCGATACTCGATTGAAGCACGCTAAGAAATTTTAAAACTTTTTTCGGGAATTAGTACGAATAAAAGTAAGGTGCATTTTCTATTTTCATAGATTTAAAAATTATCTGTTTTTCTAATACCTCTAAAAATTGAAATAATTTATCGATACTTCAATTTAACATTTTAAAACATAAAAAGTAAAGCTCCATTGGAAGGGAGAAAAAAAACGATATTGCAAACTGTTCCTGCAAGAGCAGAGAAAAGAAGGAGAGAATGAAAATGCGCGCGCATGAGGGAGAGTAAAATAACGGGTGTGGAGGGTAAATGTAGGATGGGTGCTTTTGGGACAGGAGTGAATGCGGATGTTCTTGGCTCTATGATGAAGGAGT